ATTTGGACGATGGCAGACACTGCAATGCGCAAGAGTTTGCTTCTGGGATGCTTCCTCGGAAGCAATTGACAACAATGTTTTGTTGCTCATTTGCATGTTGAAGCTGAATTAGAGATTTGGTTTCTGCGGTTGCATTTTAAACTCGGCACACTGGGAGGTGTATCGGGCTTGCGCGGCGTATGCGCAAAGTGGACATAGGAATGCAGCTGCCTTCAAAGCAGTGTAAGCACACTCTCACAGGGCGTGAGTTTGTGTAGATGCCGTGTGAATCTGTGCAGGGTGCTTTTGCAGCGCGCAGGATGGTTCTGTGGCTCTGCGAAGTGACGAACATTTCCCACAAGCGCATCGCCGGTATAGAGGCTTTCCCAAAATTTATGTAGTTCGATCGTTTTGCCGTTTGGTGGGGGGCCAAGTATGTATGATTTTACTCGAGCGGGCGAGTAGGGATGTGCGGCAACGAAGGTATTTGCTTACGACCCGCTCGCCGCATGGTATCTTGCAAAGCGCGTACTGACACCTGCTCTGTAGGAGGTGCTTAGGTGTACGAAGCAAGCGAGAGATGCGTAGTTGACCGTGTAGTTGAAGTCGTGAAGTGTTTTTGCCCGGAGGGTGCGGATATGCTTTGCTGTAGGGCGCCCAATGCGTGGCAAAATGGCTTGGCATGTAGTGAGGCCCTGCTCCGAAGCTGTCTGAGAAAAGCACTTAGCGAGTTGCTTCTAGAAAGAATGAGTGAGGGAGAATGCGTTTACGGCATTTCTCGCCGTGGCGAGGTAGATTTCTTTTCGCACTGCGTGGCTCTGAGCCGCATGTGCATGACGCCGCTTACCTGTGACATGATGAATTACTTGTTGATTATTCGCGTCGACGCGCTGTCGGACTAGGACCCACTTCATTGGTCAGTGTAGCAATTGCCGGCGCCCTTCACCATCGCTGCATAGCCTATTTGACAGCGGCTCCCCGGAACAGCACCCAGAACGTTTCCTTCTTCTGTTGTTCTTCACAAAATCTACTCAGAGCCGTCTTGATTACAAGTAGGCTGTGTAGCAGTGCCAGAGTCCGTGTTAGAACCTCCGTTCCATTCGACGAGTAGAGGATCATGCAGTGTCAGTTTGGTTTGAGCTGGTAGCGTCAAGCGCGCGTCCCCTGTCTTGATGTGGGCAGGCGAAACGGAAAATCACGTCAGCTATAAGTTTTGTCCTGGCCATTACCACATGGATATCTTTATTTCTATACTGTTCGTTGCTTCACTCTCTCGTTTCAACAGCACGTTGCCTCCCGCCGAATTGCTGAGCAGCGTTTTTGCCTTGGCGCGGTAAGCCCATCTTCAGGTGAATGAAGTAGTGTTACCGTCCGTCGTTGCGACAGAACCGCAACAATGGTGTTTGCGCTATGTGCGTATTTGCACGCGAAATACCTCCGAAAACGCCACACATGGGTATGAAGTTTTGCGCGCCTGAAATCAGTACACTTCGCTGACAACTATGTGGCAGGTATCTCCTCCAGCCAAATTCTCTTGAGGACATACCTACGATGCATTTCCCTGGCCTAGGTTCAGTTTGTGAGCTAGCGGCAGTCTTAGACGAACAGCGAATACTTCGAAGAATAGTTTGGTGCGGTGTTGATTTTGATGCATCAAACGCAACTCCAGGCATATATATACCACTTTTGAAACGCCTTGACAGATGTGATTGTCGTTTTGGTTTGGTTCCCACGAGCCTGTATACCTCCTGCTGTTGAGGGGCACCTGCACTAGATCCGCTGAGTCTTACGACAGTGTGTGCACTTTACTGTGCATTATTGACGGCAGATGGCAAGGCCGGGAGTGCTGACGGTGAAGATTTGGTGCCGTGCCAATCAATCCGATGCGCTGACGGAG